GAACTACTCTACATGGGGACCTGGTATTGAGAGATTTCACAGGAGGCTAAAACCCACTTACTGGTACATGACCTCTGTTCTCGCATTAGTGTGAGTCCTGGATGACAGCTATATTCATAACTGCCTTCAGAGTTTGTACAGAAGGTCTCACAGCCACCATTATGCTACATTCGTCAATGTCTAAGAAAAATAAAAATAATATCACCTTCAAAAAAAGAAAAAGGGCTATACCAGTGTGAGGAGGCATATAAAAAAGGCCCTGAGCAGCACGGTTGTCAGCTTAAAATTGCATGAGTTCTGTTCGTTAACAGAAATAAAATTCTCTGGTGTTTTTATGGTGTTAAAATTTCTGGTCATTCTTTGTCATAATAAAAAGGGAATTCACACTTTGTCTCTGATGATTAGGAGTCTGAATTTCAGGATGCCACCTCATATGGTAGAAAAATTATTAGAATGATATGGTATGTGTCTTACTCTGTATGGGTCACTGTAATAAAATACCACAGAGTGGGTTCTTATAAACAACAGAAATTTATTTCCCAGAGTTCTGGGGCTTGGGAAGTCCAAGATCAGTGTGCCAGCATGGTTCTCTCTGGGGAGGGCCCTCTTCCTGGTTCAAAGTCTGTGCCCTCTCGCTGTGCCCTCCCATGGTGGAGGGGCAAGCAAGCTTTGTGGGGTCTTGTTTATAACAGCAGTGATCCCCTTGATGATGGCTCCACCCTCATGACCAAAGCACTTCCCAGAGGCCCCACCTCCCAACACCATCAGCTTTGGGGGCTGGAATTTCAACATGAATTTTGGTGCAGGGGGACCCAAACACTCAGACCATAGCAATATGGTGTTGGATTGGTGGGGTGTTTTTCTCTCTGATTTCTTTGCATCAGCTGGTGAAAACTCAAAGTGATGAACTTTACAAGAAATTGTTAACATTTTACAAAGTTTTTTAGGAACTTGCACAACATTAATTTTGATTGAATAACCTATGATATTTTAAGTAGGAAAAACGGAATTTTCATCCTTAGGTACCAAGGAATTTGGAACTTATTGTTTGTCAGATTGATTTTAAGTTTTGAGATTGGGAAAAGGATACAACTATAAAGAGTTATGACCGTAAGTTGAAAGTTGAAAGATTTCTAACAAGTGGCTTCTAAAAAGCTACTTATGAGAAGCTTAGAGCATAGCGTCACTTCAGTGCGTGCAAGTGAGTCCCATTCACCATTTTTCCAGGGATGTAAGAGAAAAGATTCACATATAAATTTCAAACATAAGATTAGAACTTTTCTGGTAAGGAATGGTCTGAGCCTTGACAACACAACTTTGTCTTTTCTGGAGAAGAAACTATTCTGGGATAGCAGATGCCTGGCTTTCTGCCCCGTACTGAGTGCCCTGCACTTAGTGATAATGTTCGCCTTTGGGCCTGCCCCATTGCCCAGGGCACCAAATAGCTTGGCAGTTCTGCCCGCATATTTTATTGCAATGAGTACAGGGCTAGTTTAAGGGTAATGTTTTATTTGTCTGCTTTATAAAGGAAATCAGGTAAGGAAACACGGAAAAATCCCCAAGTATTTGAGCAATTCATAGTATACTCTGACTAGAACTAGCCTCTCCTTTCAAATTCCTTTTCCTCATGAAACTAGATCCAAATTTCTGAGGAAGGATTAAAGGCTAAGGCATAAGCTTATTAAACTTTGTTAAATATATGAAGGTTTATCATAAAGAAAAATGAAAACATGTCATTTTTAATTCCTTGGATGACTAAACAGGACAAGATAGATTTTAATTGAAGCAGAATAGATTTAGGTTAGATGTAGGGAAAGAATTTGACACGTTCATTCTTCTGTGAATTAGGCAGCAAATATTTTGACAAAATTAATTTTTGTTTATGATTGTGAATAGCAAGCAGTGTGTCATTTCAACTCAACATGTACCGAGTGTTCACCGTGTATCCGGCAACAACCTTGTGAGGGAGGTGGAGCTACCTTCTCATAGGGAAGAAAACTGAAGGTAGAGAATTTTGAGAGATTTGCCCAGGAATTCACAGCAGATAAACGGGGGGACCAAGGTTTGAACCCAACCTTTCTGGCTCCAGGTCCCCTATTCTTTCTCTTACATTGAGCCAAATTCATCTTCCTAAAAATAAAGGAAGAGTATTTTCCCTTTCTTTTTTAATCAGGACCCTCCTCTGTGGTCAGCGTACCAGTCCAGGCCATGGAGTCGCAGTGTCATGCCTGCCTCCGAGCACCGTCCCCCACCCTGGACGCCCATTCCCATTTTAGGTCAGCCGGATGCTGCCCCTCCTTCAGGGGTCAACCTTTACCCTCTCCCTGAGGTGCTCCTTTACCATCCCAGTCCCTTTCAGTCTTTAGATTCCCATGGGGTTTCCTGGATATTCATACAGGCACCTCATGATACACTGATGTATTAAATCAGGGACTCTTACACTTTTTTTTCCCAAATACATGATGATTGTATTAATACTAAGAAAAATACTAACTTAGGTGGACCAGCTCTGAGTTTTAATGAACAAATCACTCTTCCCTTGCTTAAGTAGGGAGGGAGGCCAGTTCTTTGTCCCAGGTAAAGACCCTACCATCTATCTGCTGCTGATAGCCAAATTTCTATCTCCGGCCACCACTCTCCCCTGAACTCCAGACTTGTTCCAGTTTTCCCAGGGCAGTCCTTGCTTACGCTAAGTATCCTGACATGGTTATTATTATTATTATTTTCTTTTGGTATCATTAATCTACAATTACATGAGCAGCATTATGTTTACTAGACTCCCCCCATCACCAAGTCCCCCCACATACCCCGTTACAGTCACTGTCCATCAGCATACTAAAATGCTGTAGAATCACTACTTGTCTTCTCTGTGTTGTACAGCCCTCCCTGTGACCCCCCCTACATTATGTGTGCTAATTGTACTGCCCCTTTTTCCCCCCTTGTCCCTCCCTTCCCACCCATCCTTCCCAGTCCCTTTCCCTTTGGTAACTGTTAGTCCATTCTCGGGTTCTGTGATTCTGCTGCTGTTTTGTTCCTCCAGTTTTTCTCTTTGTTCTTATACTGCACAGATGAGTGAAATCATTTGGTACTTGTCTTTTTCTGTAGGGACTC